CTTGTGGCCACGAGGTAGCTGCCGGTGAGGATGATCCGGATCGCAGCGGAGGCTGCGCGCCTGAAACGCAAGTGCCTGATTGTTACAGAAGGGGAGAAAGGGCCCTTTTTCGGCCAAATCCCTTCACAAAACTGAGCAGTCCGGTGCGATTGCCTTGATTGGGGGAAGTGTTTCTTTGGCGGACGCCATTTTGGGAGACGGAGAGTCTCACGGTCGCCATCTTGTTTTCCGACCGATAGGGCGTGGCCGCCATTTCCAGACCAGGCCTCTTACTTAACTTTCCTTATTGAGTTTCTGGCATTGAGAGAGGAAATTCTTTGACCTTACTGGCAAAATTCCTATTAATACTCTTTGGTTCCTTGATCCAACTTCTAAAGGAGGTCATTCCTTTATTTCCCTAGGAATTCAGCGATTGGCAAGGACGGGGTTTATATATATATACTACCTTACCTTGCATTTAGTCACATTATACATCACAAACCTTGTTGCTTCTCTTTGCTTCTGGAAGGGAAATTTTACAGTCCACCTGTTCATATTAGCTCACGGTGCTGTGCCTGCAGGGCCTGGACAGGCAGTGCTAGAGTGCTGTCTGGCTGTTTTGTCATTGTGGTTCATCAGGGCACGGGTCGTTTCCCTCTCTGATAACAGGTCTGCGTGTTATTTCCCCCTTTCCTGGATATCTCCTTTCGGAATATCCAGTGCACAATGGCTGACAGTGCTACTCCTCAGTCATCGCAGGGCTCTGAAGTTCCCCCCCGTGCAAAAAAAGCGCAGATATTCTGAATTAACGGCGGGGGGGGGGGGAGAAAAAGGCCAAAACAAAAAACTTAGAGCCCTCTAAAGCTGCTGAGCGAGAGGCCTCGAGGAGACATCACGCACTAGAAAAAGAATTTTCCAGAGTTCAAAGACTCAGGTCCAGCGAGGTTGAAGTGGTTTCCCCCACTTCACTGGATCCTTCCCCCTTTGGGTCTCAATTTGCGCCTTCTCAGGAAGCCCACAGGGCTTGGTCTCCTCAGGGGGAAACTGAACAGGCTGGTCCCTCTCTTCTCCTCCCCCGCCTCTTCCTCCTCCATCCTTTTCTTCCATGGCACAACAGGCTTCTGATACGGGGTACACCTCCACTGCTGCTGGCATTGGGTTTTCAGGCCAACAGGAGGCATGGTCAGAGCAGTTCCAGACGTTTATGCAACGTGCCTTTGACCAGTTCATGGCTTCATCTCTGGGCCATAGACTTCCACAGGTAACACCCTCTCCTCCCACTGTCTTGCCACAAACGAGACGCGTCCTGTTGGCTGGAACTGCTGAATCTGAGTCTTCCTCTCAGTTAGAGGAGGAGGAATCCGTGGATCTGGAGACGGCAGACATCCCCCTATCAGAGGATGAAGAGGCTGTTCCGGATCCGGTCCCGACTTCGGGCCTGTTTGATCCTTCCCTGTTCAAATCCTTGCTTGTGAAGGCTTGTGCTACTGCCAAATTGGCGGACGAACAGGAGCCCAAACCTTCTACCTCTGCTGCAGAAGAATCTAATCCCTTGTTCGCTGAACAGGTAGTGGAAGAGAGACAAATTCCTTGTCCAAATGTTTTCCACACCACTGTTGAAAAACAGTGGTCATCACTGGCTACTCTGCCCTCTCCAAGTAGCACGGAAAAGAAACTCTTTAATGTCTTCTCCTCCTTTGCTTCCCTTCTAGAAGTACCTACTGTTGATGCCCCACTCACATCGTTGTTTTCTACATCCACGATTCTACAGCACTGGAGATGGATAATCCACGAATGGGTTAACTTAATCCTCCTGCCCAATCAGATCAAGTCAGCCAAACTTGCCACACCTGTCCTGGGCCTGTTTCCACCCAGTTTTCGACTTGATCTGGCCCAGAGCAGACCTTGCAGATTGGCTCACAGGCAGGTAGAAACCTATTCATGGATTATCCATTAGATTAAATTTTAAAAAGATTTTTTCCTGATATAGTCCCCTGAGCAGCGTTGGGCTCAACACTCCATTCAGAGGACAGTTTATTGCGGATCCCCATTGGGATCAAGTTAAACGGAGGATTCCGTTTACCTTTAAATTTCCCTCTTCCCATACCCTCTTTCCTTAGAAGGGAGGGGGGGTTTCTCTTTCATCGGGGAAGGGGAATTTCTTTTTGCAACCACCCCCCTATCCTCACCTCCTCTCGCAGATCGGGGAAGGGGATTCTTATTGCAAAGCCACCCCCCCATCCTCACCTCCTCTCGTGCAGAGCTTGCGGCGGCAGCTCCGCCGGCTTTAAAACAGCCGGACTGGTTCCCAACAACTTTCCTGACGTCGGAGTTTGCGGCTGCAGCTCCGATGGCCCTAAAGGCCTCAGATCAATCGGAGGAGACCGGACCGGTCCCCGCCTACTCTCCCGGCATCGGAACTTGCGGCTGCAGCTCCGACATCATAAAAGGCCCAGCAGATCGCAGAGGCCGTAGGGGCCTCGGATCGTCTAATCGAGTTCCAGGCACTCCGGTGAGCGTTTTAAGCGCCGAGGGACAGCGTAATAGATTGGGCTGGGTGAGTTGATCGCTGAGGGTAATATATAATCAATAATTTTACAAGCAAGTATCAGGCATATCATTAATATATAAATAGCTTATCATAGTATTTAAATAGCATATAACATATTCAAATATTTTTCACTTAAACTTAGCTTTAACCTTAAAGGCATAACCATAAATTAATAAAAAACAAGTATTTCCACCTAATAGCTAAACAAACATATTAATAATATTGAAATCTCAAAGAAGAAGAATAGAAAAAAAGAACAAGAAATTTCTAACAATCAAAAATAACTCAAACTTCAATAAATCCTTTCACTTAACTATCTATTAATTAATACTCCATCATTAAACTAACGTATCTCTAACCAATGATAAAAAATTTTCCCAGGTTGTAAAGTAAATTGAATCATCTTTTTCTTTCATTTATAACGTTAGTCTATCCATTTCCGCACAGTCTTAAGATTTTTGTAATTATAATCTGGTCCGATGGTAAATTCTCATTCTTCCAAAATTGGGCAAATGCTATCCTCGCTGCAGTTAAAATATGCAATATCAAATAATCATTCTCTTTACCGTAACTAGGTGAGGATGTTATTGATTGAATAGCTTAATCTTTTATACTTCTACAATGATATTCATGCACACTTTATAATTTGAGGGTTAATCTTTCACTCTTACTTTTCAACATTTATTAGTATTTATCCAGAAAGGTTTAAGTTCTTCAAATATTATAGAAGTTTGTTCTGTTACATGTTGAACTTGGCCACAGCTTGCTTAACTGCCCATCTTAGTTCAATTGCTTATAGTGTTTATAATCTGTTTTACTGAAATCTTGGGTTTTACTATATTTATTCAGACACGCTTTTCCATAAATAAGACTCCCATTTTTAGCCATAATGTAGACATGCATGTTATTATCTTAGGGCAGGAGTAGGGAACCTTGGCTCTTTTATGACTTGTGGACTTCAATACCCAGAATTCCTGAACCAGCCATGCCCACTCAGGAATTCTGGGAGTTGAAGTCCACAAGTCATAAAAGAGCCAAGGTTCCCTACCCCTGTCTTAGGGGAACAAAGACTAATAATAATAATAATAATAATAATAATAATAATAATCATCATCATCATCATCATCATCATCATCATCATCATCATCATCATCAAACAACTTTATTGTCACTTTGAATGTACACTAATCGGCATACATCAAATTGAAATTTCATTGCACACAGTTCTCAAAAGGTCACCACCTCCAATATACACTCCTTGTTCGTGGCCAGCTCAAGTTTCAGAAGGTCCATTTTAGTCTTTAGAGAGCGAATGATGGTGAACAAGACAGATGGAAATACAGCTCCATGTGGATTAGCCCTCAAATTAGCTTGTATTCCTGCAGATAGCCTCGCCTCCTTTCCTTTTTCTGATCCTGTCTCTTCTACCTTTTCCTTAAAGGGACCTCACTCCTTTTCGCCTCTGGAGCACACTGCCACCACCTCCAACTCCTCCAAAAGCATCTCTCTCTTCTTCTTGGCCTGCCGACAGCCTCATCCAGTTCCTTTGCTCCTTAAGCCCCGGGACCTCTCCTCCTCTGCCTCCTTTGGAAACAGCCCTGATTTGCAATAGAATCCGTCGCTGTGCCAGCAATCAGATCTTGCTCTGGCAGAACAATTTCAAACAGCGCAAACGACTTTTAACGGTCTCACCAACAGTTCCAAAATAGCTCGCCATACCAGCAATGACTATCGGTCATATGTTACCTTAGTCCCACCATATCGGTCAAACACATTAAAAGCTTCCCGATCATGTGGCCTATATCCAGTGGTGGGATTCAAATATGAGAACAACCAGTTCTCTGTGGATGCTGCTTCCAGAAGTCCATTCTTGGTCTGGGCAACAAAAAATTAGCTACCGGTTCTGCTGAAGTGGTGCGAACTGGCTGAATCCCACCACTGCATATATCCCTTCTATCCCTCCAAAAACCTTTCACCTTCGAGAACCAATGGAGCCACAGCCAATCCAGGCACTACCATCTTAGAACTTAACTCCGTATATTCATTATATTTTGTAATTCTTATAAATAACATATGTTTATATTGATGTAAATATCTTCATTTGTTCTGCCTTACTTCAGCCAATTCTTTTCTATGTCTGGAATTGTTTCCTATTTTAGAAGAATATTATAATAAATCTCACTCAAGTACAGCTGCAAAGGATCTTACTATGAAACATTTTAATGATTTTGTTGTGAAAAAGTACGCCTTGATGATTTTACTCTTCTGGTAAAGGAGTCAAAGGTACCTAGTTTTAAAAATATATTGTTTAGGATTAGGCTGTTTTTTGGGAATTTGGTACATTACATTTTAAAAAGTATAAATTCATAATATTGTGGCTCCTGCTTGAGTACTGATTGTTATTTATTGAAGGTAAAATAATCTAAATCTTTTGCAGTATTAATAAAGCTCTTTACATTTTCAGATTTTAAAATGTTCTTTGGATCAAAAATAACAGAAGAATCCTTGTAGTGGAATTCAGAGAAACACCAATCTTAATACAATGGAATCTAGTTAACAAAAAATGTTGATGGATCAGCAAGAGAAACTGTTGTCTTATAATGGGATACTGCTTCTTTTCCAATTATCAAGAGGGAACAATTCACAGAGTGATGATACCACAATTACTACATTGCATGTGAAAAGAATGACATTTGACAATGACACTAAATTGTTTAATGAGGTATCTACTGGATCATTTTGCATATATGGTGAAAATATTGAAATTATTCACTGCAGTAATGCATCTGACTTCAGAACTGGAATTCTTCAACCTTATATTCTTTTGAAAAAGAAGAAAAAGAAAAAAAATAAATATATACTATTGTTGCTTCATATCCATAATAAATTTGAACTGGTTCTGCAGTTTAAATTAGACTATGCAATCAAAGAACCTATAAAATTATTGGCTGGTCCAACAATAATATGGTATTATGAAGGACATCTGTTACATATTTCTCCCCAAACTGGAACTGTTTTATGTGCCCCTATTCAGTTTTCTTCTATCCAATGGGCTGGTCAAGTTAAGAGTGAGGGTACAGTTGTTTTAGGAACCAGAGCTGCTGGTTTTCCAGGAGACAATAAGCAAAGTAATGCTAGCTCAGACCTGGCCATCTGGGGATATGAGTGTTTTGCATATGGAGTTGACAAACAAAAAGTACTGTTGAATGCTAGTTTTTTGCCTCACGCTTATGGCAGTGTGGTGTGTTGTGTATACGTTTGCAAAACTGAAGTAAGAAGAAGCAAGTTTAAGACGTCACTGATTGCAGTTACTTGCAAAGGCCAATTGATTTTCTTTCAGGATGGTTGGACTAAACATCTTTTGCAGCTTCCATATGAAAATCCTTTTTCAGTACAAATAGCTGCAGTGGATGGAGATCGTCAATTAGTAATCGTGACATTTGCTTCCGGAGATGTATGTGCTATATGGAAACATAACTTGCAGGTATTGAACTGATGTTATAAAACATTTTTATTAGAATTGTGGAGAAACTGTCTCATGATCTATGGATATTCTCAGACATCCAGGTCATGGTTATCCCAAAGATGCTTTTTTACGAGGCAACTGGACTTTCTTGTTTTTCTTTATTTCACTTTTCATTCAAGAAGCTTCTTCAGCTCTGGCTGGACGGTGGGGAATGGAAGGATTTATACTCCTTTCAGGCAGCTGGTCATTTGCATTCTTTTAGAGAGTTGTTAATACCACCTGGAGGTCTTATCTGTTTCATCAGGGTCACCTAAGTAGTGCAAATGGCTGTGGAGCCTTCTTGGAACTGTTGAAAAGACTATGTTGTAGATTGAAAATAGTTAATGTCGTATTCTTCCCTTCTGTTGAGAGACAGCTGTTGAAATTGATCATTTGCACTACTCAGGTGACCCTGACGACACAGATAAATCTCCAGGTGGCCTCAACAACTCAAAAAGAATGCAAATGACCAGCTGTCTGCAAGGAGTATAAATCCTTGCATTCCTCACCATTCAGTCAGAGCTGAAGAAGTTTCTTGGATGAGAAGCAAAACGTCTTCAAAGAAAAACAAAGTCTAATTGCCTGTGAAAAAGCATCTTTGGGATTCTGTCTTATTGTTTTTGTAAAATATTATCTGTCTAGTTATTCCAGTCCAGATTCATGAAAGAAATGCAGATGCATGTACTGTTATTTTGCTTAATAAGTGTTGAACATTCAATCAGACAAAAACTTCCCTGCAGTTACTGTATGATATAGGACAGCCATTGTTTACATAGGAACCTGATGTGCATTATGGAGTTCTGACATATGAAGGTTTTCTTGGTCCTTGTAGAAACAGCTTATTTTCTAAAATGAGTGATACAATTTTGACATCATAATGTAATTGATTCACTCCTTTTAATTTTATATCAGCTCTGTGTCCTAATTAAATCCTTGCTTTTTATATCAGACGAGTTTGTTATAGTTATAGTTTATAGTTACCTGAGTTTATGGTTAACTATAGTTTATAATTAACTATAGCTTATAGTTATAGTTACCTAAGGATTGGAAAAGGGCTGATGTGATTCCCATCTTCAAGAAAGGGGGGAAAAGGACTTCCGGTTCCGGTATGCGGCGACGCCAGTCGTGCCTGGAGACTCGTCTCCGCGTCGTCCGGAGTTTCCTTCGCCGGTAGACCCCCTAGGGGGTCGAAAGTCACCCTGGAGGGGCGACCACCGAGGAGGAGGCTTGCTGGTAGATAAGGGAGGGCGGCAGCTTCCCCAGGGTCTCCAGCTATCTCCTTAGGACCGACGTCCTGCAAGATTATTATTATTTTATTATTTATTAAATTTATATACCGCCCTATCTCCCTTACGGGACTCAGGGCGGTGAACAGGCGATAATAAAAACCATGATAAATATACGCAAGTTTCTTTTTTTTTCAATATAAACTTTTATTATTTTTCAACATAAAAATTTTTTTTTTCACAAATACTACACAATGCTATATGAAAAAACCCCCACCCCCCCGGACTTCCCAAACCTAATCCCAGGATAATATTCAGATATAAGTAAACAAATATTAACATCTCTAACTCCACAAAGTATATTATTCTATATGAGTAGGTAAGATATATAAAAGAAAAGAAGAAATTTTCTAAAAACCTAAATTATATTCCACCACTCTATGCTTCCTTTGAATATAAACAATCCATCTTCTCCATATTAACAAAAATTGTTCATTTGAATAATTCTTCAGATAAGCCGAAATCTTTGCCATCTCAGCAAGGTACGAAACTTTCAATCTCCAGTCTTCCATTGTAGGTAAAATTTTACTCTTCCAGTTTTGAGCTATCAACAAACGGGCAGCAGTTAAGCAATATAACATCAAATTCGTTTCTTTTACATCCAAATTTTGTGTAATACCTA